CCCCGCCATTCGCGAGCTCGTCGCCTCCCTCAGGGGTAAACTTTCATATAGAAAAATCGTTAATGCTGGAAACTAATTGACTGTTATATATATAATGTGGGATTTATACAGATTTTTTTTTCGATTCACTATGTGTTAACGCGTTCCATGCCACATTGATTTTACTTTTTATTCACGTCGGATGAAAATCGCCGATGGCATTATCGAAAATCATTGTATATATTTATACTATTTACAAGAAAGTGAAATGCTGCATGAATTATTGGTAATTCATGATATGATAATTGCATTATATATGATAATTTCGTATCAATTCTCTTAATTTTCTTAACGGCAAAAATCTTAAACGTTCTAAACGGAAAGTCCAGCGCATTGTGGAACGTGTTAAGGCACAATAGCGTAGAACAATTTCTGCTTCAATTAGTATCTAGCATTGCTTGATGATCGCATCATCACAAAACAATTATTTTGTTTTTATTCGTGAATGTTTGCTGAAACAGGGACACATCGTGGCGCCGTCCAGCAGACGCACGTCGGATCGCTTCGTCAAGCCGGCGATTCCGCCCACCATCGTGAGCCCCGGCGGACCGCCGGTGATCGCTCCTAATCCCACATCGAACGCCGCCGCACCCCAGCCAGGCTCGCCGATGGACATCGCGAAGACATAAGCCGACAGCCTGCGAGGAGAGAAGGGGGCGAAGACTCCCTTCGTGTAATCGCGCGCAAGGTACTTCTCTAAAAAAAAAATAAAAATAAAACTATGCGTTCCAGCCGCGGAGACGCACGGAAGAGCCGCCCGCACGTTTGGTCGAGATCCACCATCGTCGTCCGGCGCTTTTTATCTCTTCGAACGTTTCCGTTCTGTTTAACCACTGCTACTACAGCTCTAATGTAACACACACACGTACACACACACACACCACACACACACATACACACACACACGCGCACACACACACACAACACGGGCTACGGACTGAGAGACACGGGACTTAATTATTATTCCGAACTGAATGGCAGAAGATTAAACAGCGCAGTCGCGTGAGCCACTCGTCGCGGGACGGTTCTCGCCTCGAGAACCCCGCTTCTTCAACGATTCCTCCTGTATGATGCCTGAAGTACCGTTCAGTACCGAGCTCTTTGTCGTACTACGCAATTAAATATTGTTTGAGTGTTCTACGTAAGGGAAAAAAAATGAATCATTGACATGTTGCTTCCATGTTCCAAGTAACCATAGTATAAATGTTGAATGCGAACGCTAAGGGACATTTTACGCGGCATACTTCGCGATAATTGCTGTAATCTTACTGTGCGTCTAAGAACGTAAACGAAAGTAAATTAGGGTGTAGTGTCGCGGTGTTCACACACGGTTTAACAGATATGCATTTGTTTTAGCTTTGAGCCTGAGTAATCACTTTAGCATATGCGTTACCGAGGCGAAAGGCATGATTCTAAGGAATAAATGATTTCGGTGGTTCCTGTGCAAAGATTGTCGGATATTGGAGTACACGATGAGGCAGAGAGTCGGATTTTAGAGATCAAATATCGGCATCTTCGTATCTGAGAAGTTTCAAATATTTTCTTGAAGAACTATTCTAACTTAAAATATTTTTTTATTAGAATATTCTAATTTAGACTTTATAATCACTGATTGCGAAGATCTCTGATAAAGGCCTTAAAGTTCCAAAGATTTAAAAGTCCAACAATCTGAAATCTAAAACAGATTTGCTGATGTAAAAATATACACTTCTACAAAGGTTTGAGAATCTGTGTGTCTATAAATATAAACATAATATGTAAAATAAATGTATATTTAATAATCAATGTTAACACAAAGATCTATTTAAAGCATTTTAGAATTTTATTAATTGAAGAAATTCAGCCGTTTAAAAAAAAATTGAAAAGTTCCTCGAATTTTTAAATCTTCTGCTATGCAAGCTTGCATTTCTGGAATTTCTGTCTCAGATCGTGATAACTAATCTCAAAATTGCTTAACTTTACAATGTCAGAGCGTTGGAAGTTTGAATCTTGAAGCTTTGATATGAGGCGCGAAAAGCCTTTGAAATCTCAATATCGAGAGAATTTAGGTGTAGCGCATGAAAAACAAACACTTGCGTACTTCGAGTTTGTTTGCTAATAAATTGTTTTTATATCAACGATACATAGCGCATTAGTTCGAGACGTTGTCTGTTATGTTATATTGAATCAGACTTTAGAATCTTTGTTCCAGATTGTTTCTCGGGAAATTGTTTCTCAATAGTTTAGTCTCGTTTCCGAAACTTAGATATCTCTTTTTAAATTCTAGAAGCGCTTGGACTCTTGTTTTTAAGGTTTTCGGTACCTCGACGCCTACTTTCTAAATCTTTGAAATCCTGTTTCGAGACCGTGAAATCTAGAAGTCTTGAATCTTGAGATTTTGAGGAATGTTATAGAAGTCAACACGGAAGAATCGTATGTCTTTTTCATTTCAAAGTTCTCAATACTTTCTTGTACGTCAGTTATCATGCATTATGATGTAAGAAACGGAGGAATTGTGAGAAAATCTATGAAATCAATAATCGCTTATTTGAGAGAAATAAAATTTGGCTCACGTTTGAGTGATTTTCTCGCAATTCTTTCTCTTCGATTGCAATATGCTGATCGCAGATAGCTGACGTTATTGAGAACTTCTGTTTAAAAGAACAGGTGTATTATATATATAAATGATACGAAAAATCAGGTCGAAGCGTTGTTTATTATATTGTATCGAACGGTATAAATATATATATATATATAAACGGTCGTATACAATTATACATATGACATAGAATTTTATTATAACGTAAAAAGAAGTTCTTATCAATAATTATGATTACGCAGATATGCTTCACAGCTGCATGTATTTTACTCAAGCTTTTATGAAATACAGTCACGTTTTTGCTATTATACACTGTCAATCTTATTACATAAGTTCTCTGAGTTTTAGTACAAAACGAAAATTTCCCTAAATTGTACTTAAAAAGGACAAACTACATTATTACCACTTCATTACCGCAATCCTGTTTAAGATAGTTGTATTTTTGACTCCAACGTTCAAGTTCAATTATTATGTAATATTTTATTTTTATGTAACGTAATTACAAATATTCAAAAATGTAGGTAAAATGAACGTTATTTTTAACAATTGTTGATAATATAGAAATCTGTAATCTAAAATTTGCGTTTCGAGGGTTTGTATCTCAACTAAAGATAGAAAGATAACATAGATTATGGACGTCCTGTAATATCGGCGACATCTTTGCGATAGCGAAGATGTAAACCTATATTTTTGGTTTCGTGTCTCAGTGTGTGCACGTGTTAAAGATCAAACGATTTCACAATGTGTCAAAAAATATGGCCTGCTGATCGCTACGTCTTTTAAAACGTTGGAAACGCTTGTTATCTCACCTAAAAATGTCGTAAGTAACATATTTGTCGAGTTTTCCTTGGAATTTCGAAAGTGAAGGCTTATCTTAGTCTCATCATATAAAAGTTTTTTTTACTGTGTTAACAAATATTAATTACAAATCGTTATTAATTGTTAATTAATATTAATTATTGATTGTTATTTGCAGAATATAAGCAAAATACATCATTCTATTGCTGTAAATTCAAGATAACTGATTTTTCACTGCTGGCACAATTGTAATAGTGTCTATGAGACAAGCTCTGCTAGGAATCTCAATATAGAAGAATCATGAATTCGTGCAAAAGGAAGAACGAGGATGTTTTGGCGGAAGTCCTGGAACTGTTCCTTCTGCCGGATTACAATGTCGTTTCGTCAACTTATTTAGATCATTTGTTGAGCCACATTGCAGAGAACACAAAAGACTGTAAGGAAAATATTTTTTCAACAGATTATTTTACTGTGATATGCTTTGACGTGTAAATTTGCAGGTGCTTTAGTCGATTACGAATACTGCGAAGTCTTTCAGAAGTGGATACCAAAGGCTCTAGCAGTATGGGAGTCTGGACAGAAAGCATCACAGCCTGTGATCTCATTTACGCTGAAACTTGTGGGGATTATTTCACGACACGAACTGCGTTATCACTACTGGCAGTGTCAGGACGTGTACAATCGACTTTGCACAATTCTGCAATTGCACAGAGATGATTTACCTGCTTCTATTAAAATGGCGTATACCACAATGCTGTCAGACTTGATAGCTCACCGAAGTGGCAGACAGTGGGTGGTAAAATCTGGTGAGTAAAGTTATAATAAAATATCTTACATTTTCGTGAATCAAAATAACACATGAATATTATAATAATTATTTTAAAGCATATTTTAGATTCATATATTAACTGTTTATAAACAATATCGTGAACTAGTAAGTGTTACTTTAAATTTTAATCTGACAGGTGTATGGAAGGACGTTGTGAAGTGCGCGCAATGGAATCACACAATGTATGTTACAAGGGAAAGTCAGAAATTCCTGTGGACGCTGCTGCTGCACGAGCACAAAAATGTCGATGCCTGCAGTGAGATTATCCTGGCGATTGCCGCGCCTTTGATGAGCAACACTGTAGATGCACAGGCGCACCAGGCGCTGGAAGAGACGTATTTGGAGCAGAACAAGCTGCTGTGCTCCACACTGGACCTGGTGACCAGCATTCTGGAGAATACACTGTTTGCAAATCTGAACAACAGCATCCCCGAGTTGCTGGAACGACTCATCAACCTCGAGACGCGAGTAAAGGCACTGTTCGAGGCTTGCATCAGCACCAGATTCCTCCAGCATGTGCACAAGCTACTGCTGCTGTCGCTGTTCCTGAAGTTGAAGCAAGGAATCAGTGAGAACACCAACGTAATTGACGCCGCGGCATGGCAAAAGTTTTGTTACGGTTATTACTACGTTTCCATGAAGCTGCTGTCGAAGAAATATATCATAGAGATGGTGAGATGCAACAAGTACTGTATGGTGTATTGGAAGAAGTTGTTCACGTTACGAGAGATTGTTCAGTCCGAGCAGTACAAGTTTGAACATCAAGCTATTGCTCTAATGGTGAGTCGATGAATGTTTGTTTTATGTTTAAATGGAAGAATGTTCATTGGAATAAATAAAATTAATAAAAGAAGCGTTAATAAAATATTAATAGAATATTAAACTAATCTTAATTTTTTTGAAAACAGGTTCTGCCACTGTGCGTTTGTATAAAAAAGAATCATTTGAATCACGATCTGTTTGATATGTTCATTAATAAAATTTTCGATGTAACATGCACCACCGTGCAAAGGTTAGCTTACTATATGAGAGACATTATACGAAAGGAGGACCTTCCAATGGAACATATTTGCAAAGTGTCCATTGATATGCTTCTTGAAATAACAGATATAATGGATAGAGTGAGTACACGTTAGAAGCTTAATAAATATAAAATAATTTTGTTGTTTATTAGTTTTTTGTTAATTTTTCTCTTATTATTATAATTTTTTCCAGGACGTAGCGGTGATCACTTTTCAAGCTTTATGCCACGTCTTGAAGAGTTACATGCCGGACACGTGGGCAGGGAAGCATCCGAAGGCAAACAACACTTCTCCCTCAGAGCATCCGCCGAAGTTTTTGTACAAATCGATACTGAAAGGTGATCCCATAGTCGATTATCCTATTCTGCTGGCGTCACTGCTCGACGGCTTGGCAATCATGACGGAGAAATTCAAATTGAAGTGGCAGGAATGCGTGGAAACGATATGCGTGTTATCCCTCGCGCAAGAAATCCTCAATCATTCCGGAATACTACCAATGGTAAAGGGAATCGATTACTGACATTAGATTAATAAAATCAATGTTTACAAAGAAAAATCATTGTAATGAAAAAGAAAAAAATAGTTTTAGTTTGAAAAAATTCTTGCTTAGATTTGCGTGAAGGCGTTGAAACTGTGCAAACTCGCCATCCACAACTTCATGCCGCCTAATTTGGCGCTTCTTGTGGATTCAGACAGCCACATGAACGAGATAGGGCCTACACTCTACAAGAGGCTGCACGATCCTAATTGGGAAGTGAGAGACAGTGTTCTCGAGGTTCTCAACACCATCGCAACGATCTCCGAAGACAGTAAGCGAATCAATATAGAAATTGATGTATATGTACTCGTGAGTTTTGTTAATTATTTTGATATAATTTGATATAATTGAAATGCACAGTAAAAATAGAAGATAAAAATCTTAGTAAAATCTAATCATCTTTTCGCAGAATATCCGGCATTCCAGAAGTTCTTACTGACGAATCAATTTCCAAAAGTGGCGATCGAGGTCGTGAAAACGGACGGCGAGAGTTACGTGCGAGCGTCCGCATTAACGTTCATTGCGACTATCGTGCGCATCAACAAGCTGTGGGATCAACAACTGTCGCAATTGGATTTGATTGTACGTATACACTTATCACTCTCACTTGTTTAACGTTTCGATCTTATTGAAGAAGATTACGCAAGATAAATTATTTCCAGGAAACGGCGATTTGTTTACTCGAGAACGAAAGCGAGGCGATAGTCAGGAGGGAGGCTGTGAATCTAATCAAGGAATTGTATGTTCATCGAAAGTGGTCGTACGTAGAATTTTTAAATCTACGAACTAATAGTTGACATATGTGTCGAATAATGATCGGCATCATTCGATTCTCGCAGGAAGGAAGTCATCGATACAATGCTGCGAGCGATGTCCATGGCGGCCGTGTTCGATCTGCACTGGGAAGTCAAGACGAACGCGTTGACCTTCTGGGATCACTTCGTCAAGTCTCATCTGACAGATCAGGGAATGCTCGACGACTCGTTTCCGAACGTGACGTTCTCCAAAGAGCACAGGAAGATCGTGGCGTTGAACGAGACGGAGATTAAACGGCGACTTAATAAAGCATTGGACGAGTTAGCTAGGCAAAATTGTCTAGGTGTAAGTAAATATTAGGATTTAGAAACTGATTTTATAAATTGCTCGAACTCTCTACGTCCTTAAATTTTTCACTTTATAAATAGCTAAATAATTAAATTTAATTAACTAATAATTCATAAATTATCATGATAATAAATAATATCGGTCTGACTTTTGTTTCTTTAATTTTTAGGTACTTTTGGTGACCCTAAAAGATGATAGTGATTTTGAAGTGTGCAAAGCATCCGCCATTATAATCGGCAAGCTGAAATCTTGTCTATTAAAATACAAATTGGACGAACCGTTACTACCTACGGAAAACAATGCGACAATAGACACCGTTTATGTCAAGGAAGTGCCGCTGGTCTCGTCCACTTCCGCTGAAGAGACGCGAAACGTCTCACATATTATTGAGGAGATTGTGGATGCGAACGACGCCAATCTGCTGGCGAGCATTTACAAAAGCTCTATGAACATGGACGGCGAAAGAACGAAGGAGAAAGAGAAAAAGACGCTCGGTTACATCTCGTCTGTTACACGTCAAGACTTTCTTCACGCAATTTTCAACTGCGACATCGACGCTTACATCGAGGAGAAGAATCGTTGGCTGAAAACGTATACTAGCAGTTTTGAGTCGATTCTGGACGACATATTAACAATGTATAAGCAAAAGGACGTGAACTCGATGGACTGTTACTAAACTCACGCATATTTTACATAATTTTGATGCTGAATGCATAATTTGCATTTCTCTTTTATATTCAGACATCGCTGAAAACATCGTCAGCTGTCATTTGTATAATTATAAATATTTCAAATACTTTTGAGCGTAGGGTGGTGAATGTTTTTAAGCAAGTCAAAACTATAAACTTATTTTCTACAAAAAAGTTCCTTAAGTTGGACATAATTTTGTAGATTAATCGCAATTTTTCATTTATCATTTATATCTTTCAATCATGTATATTTTTCTTGCTTTTTCTTTTAAATACTAATGGTAGCAAACAGCAAAGGGCTATGTAAATGTGTTTATTCTGATAGAATTAAATTCTGTTATATGTATGATAACTTTATAATAATAGTTTTTTGCAGAAGTGAAATAAAGTGAAAAAATTACACAATTTTACGAATAAAAATTTAATGCCAATCAGAAGTCTAATTATAATGAAAAGTTTAATAATAAAACGAAAATAATGCCTGAAAGACGGGCGAAACAGAGCAGACAAAGTAAAATCCAACGAACAAATCTTAAAAAATAAAGTCTTCTAAAATCATAACTCTTTATATACAAATAATTTTACAAAAATACGTCTGCATAAATTTTAAAAGTTTTGAAAATTCGCGCGTGAACGTGTGCGCAGTGCAGCGCGCTTGCGCGCGCATTTATTCTTTCAAAATCAACCGCTCTATCTTGTGGCGCGCCAGTCACGCGCGAGCCTTCATCGAGGTAGAGTGTTGTGCAATTGAGTTGTCAACTTACAAAATAATACAGAGTGATAACACCGAGAAGTGATCGCAAGATCGAATCATTGTGAAATTACGAAGAAAGCGGTGCGCCTGCCCCGACGACGATGTCGTTCTACTTTCGCGATTCGCCGAAATTGTCGGACCGACTGCGCGGCATGTCCGACGCCGAGTTGCTGCGGGAGATGAAGCAGAAATTTAACGTAGACAACGACACGTTCTTTGAACCCGGCAGATCATCCAGAGACTCCTTCGAGCGGCCTTTCTCACATTTCCCGAGAGTGAGTACATTTATTTATTTATTTATTTACTTTGCAAATTATCTCCGCGAACCGCGAGCCTTCGCGTTTGCCTCTCTACTTGCCTCTCTACGTGTGCGCGCACATACGTGTTTGGAATTTGCAATTGCGATACCTGGCAAATGCCGAGGCGTTTTCTCGACCTTTATGCTCTTCATCTCGCTCTTTCTCTCTCCACCCGATAGATTCACGTTGAAAGAAACAAGTTTGTCGACTCAATACCTAAATAAATATACGAAATAGCAAATCAATAACGTAACCTTTGCATTTTTATGTTTCACGATTGAACGAATATATATGTTATTATTAAAACGAGCTAAAGCTACGGTGATATCTAAATATCGATCATACAAACATCAGCATATTGATAAACACCGAGGAAGATGCTGGGTGAAGATGTTCGTTTACGTTTTGGCAGACCGTTTTCGCGCGCGAAATTTAAGTCGCGACAAACAATTCGGAGCCGTGACACGCCAGCCGAATTTCTTTATATTTATAGCGTCGTCCCAATTTTCTTCCAACATCGACGACGATCGTTGGCGATGAGTTTTTCACCCCAGGGTGTGGCATTATTTTTTTTTCTCGGATATCCCGGTTATTCTCGTCTCGTCGTGACGATATTTTCAGATCGTAAAACGACGAAAATGCAAATTTTCTCGCGTATCGAGTCCGCATGATGTTTTCGCAGCGTCGCGCGCGTTCGCGAAAGATCGAATTCGAGGTCGCGAATTTCTTCTTTCAATTAGAACGTTTGATTAATCGTTATAAATATATCGTTAACGTAAGTAAATATTGATACACATTGATCGAAGATTAAGATACATTAACGACGACAAGCGCACTCTCCAATATCATGCCATTCCATCAAGGCACTCGTCATCTCTAAAAAGATCTCCGGATATCAGGCCGGTCAGAAGTCAAGTATTCTTTCTTTTGTTAACGTAACAGCTAAATAGGGGACAAATTTATCGATCTGACATTATGCAAAGATTGTCGCCGCGATAATACCGCTCGTAACACTTTTCGAATGCTCGGAAACTTTAATATCCGGCCAACCAAAGAGGCTTTCATCGCTCGTCATCGGTTTGCTGAATAAGTCTGAGAAGCGAAATAGTGTCGGTTCCAACTGGACCCTTCCGAAACGAGTTTCGTCAGCGCGTAGGGTGAGCCACCCCTATCGATCTCAACGAGCCTGGAGAAATGGCATATTTTCGACCCTCCTACTTTTCCCTAGCTCAGGATCGTCCTTTAATGACAAGAGATGTCTTTAATAAGAGTTCCGCAAACCTAGCGTTCCTTTTTGTATATTCGTTAAGAAAATTATTTCTTCAATTGCAATACATTAAAAGACCTAAAACCGGAATTAAAGTAAAGCTAAGACAGATAAGAATGTTGTTTTTTACTGTAGTCTTCATCGCGCTCAGTTTCTCGAATCTTCAAGTTTCACAATGAGATAATAATTTGTTTAAAAAATGGATGCAATTAAATTTTTTTTTTTTTTTTCTTCGAAGAGTTGGCACACATAAACCTGACGACGATGACGATCGATAGCGTTCCGGGAAATGATTATTGCAGATAATGCCGTGCCGTGTGTCCCGTGCGCGAAATATGCTAATTGGCGCGCCAACAATGCGGAACAGGTGATTCGGTTATGTATAGCGATCGGCTGATGGACGAGATAGAGAAGAGAAGAGAAAAGCATGCTTCATTACGTAAAGCAAATTGTTGCGCCGATGTACGTTCTCATAGACAGCCGACGGTTCTCACCGCCGCGTCTCCCCTTTAAGTTGCCCTTTAATCCTGATGTAGAAGGAAAGATAACGCAGAGGATGAGTCACTTAATGTATTTGAAACATATTTCTGTTTTAATAAATAAATATTTTTTTACATCTTGCGACTTTGAGAGTTCGCTGGAGAATAATGTAAAATAATTTTACTATTTTTTAAATAATTAAGTCATTTTACTATTTTTCCAGATACACAAAATCTCAAAAGTTGCAAGAAAATTTGTTTTAGATGCAAACGTTAAATGACTTATTCTCTGTGCGCATTATAATGTAGAATACAGTTCGTGGGACGGTGATCTTGTTCTTTTGCGATCTGTAACATAAAGTGCGTAGTCGTGAATGTACGCACAATCAATATATGAAATTGGCAGTGTATTAGCGTTATTTATACATTTAACATATTAAACTTCGCCACGTTACACAACGCACCTTGCGTAACAAAAGAATCGTTACTCGTTAACAATTTTTTCGGACATAGCATATAGTTTTGCCATTCGATTAATTCAAAGCAGTAACGCTTCGTAGAAATGTACAAACGCCTACAGAAATCGGTTAATACGATTAGCGCGATAAGCGTGCAAGAATGAATTACACTTGAAGGCTTATTCAGATTTACATAGCTACGTAATGTACGTACACAGAAAAATCGACGAGTCGTATTTAACATGAAAAATTTGTACAATCTTTGAAACACATGGCTGATCGATTTCTTTTGCATCAGTTTTGTGCATTCGAAGCGCATTGCATCTAGATATTTATGCACACAATTGATCAAAAATTCATATCGATGCGTCTTCGTAGATTAAAACATTCCTAATCGCACGTGTACGTAAGTGTGATATAGATGTGCAAATTTATTTAAATGGAATATTCGAATTTGAGATTGTTGGAGCGCGAAAATCCGCGTTTGATGCGAAAAGAATTGAAATATTAGTTGGATTTCTTTCGGTGCTTTTTATCAGCTTTAAACCTTAATAGATTAAACGAATTTCACGCTACGTGCCGTCCCCACCTCCGAGGAATGAATGAGCCTTTCGCCGGCTCGCGCAGCGGACTCGTGCTACCTACTCGCGCCTCGTACTCTCCTGGCAGCGCTATCGATCACCGTAGATCATCGATCGTCATTATCGATGATCGTACAAACGATCGAGACGCGTGTGCGACACGTTTTTCGATTAACGCTCAGTTTTATTAATATTACATTCGTTATGTCATTGATTTTCGCGATTACAGTCGGCGCTGTAACTCCATTTAGGGCCGCGGAATGCACATCGCGCAAGTCATTTTCGCCGAACTCGTTATGCGCGCGTTACTCCGCGATTCACTCATCGCTATTTCTCTCCTCTGTTTTCCTCGAACATGTGTTCTTTTTTTTTCCAGAACACACGCGCGACAATATTGAACAATTTGTTGAATCTGTCCGTTGAAATTTCTTCAATGCCCTGTATTATTACGCGCTTTTCACGGCGGTCGATCACAGCAGTCCCTTCGCTCGTGCCTAAAAATATAGGTCACACCGCTCTCCTTCTCTCTTTCGGTTGTTCAAGGCGAGCATCGTATTCTCATTAAGTCTCCGTTCGTTTTGCCTACCTGTGTATTTTGTGTTGCACCTTTTGCATATCTAAAACTAAATATATATATATACATATATCCATGCTGAGACTAGAGGGACTAAATAAAGCGAATAGAGTGCTTCATCATTCACCTGCGCCGTTTCCTCGATACAAAAGATACGCGAGAGGAAACGGCGAGAAGTTTCTAGCGCATTCTCGCGCTCGCCAGGCTGCCTCCGCCCGCGCTTGCTCCGCGGTTACGTCGTCGCGCATTTAAGTTGTTTCCGCAGCCCGCGCCGCTGTCAGTTTCGCTATTGCCCGCGACCGTGGAGGGTCACGCGCGTGAATACGGTAAAGCACGTGTTACGTTTGCGCCTTCTTACTGACGGTGTGAGACGACCTTGAAAGGTACACCCGGCAGTGAGTGAGAAAGAGAGAGAGAAAAACGGACGCGCAAGTATAGTTGCGGCACACTTATGTAATCGCGGCATCGGCAGAGGCACGAGGAGGAGACGAGGAAAAACCGAGAGAGAGAAGAACAACGTGTGAGTGTCAGCTATTGCGAGCGAACGAGCGAGAGAGAGAGAGAGAGAGAGAGAGAGAGAGAGAGAGAGAGAGAGAGAGAGAGTGTGAGAGAGCGAGAAAGAACGCAAAAAGTGGTATCGCGGAGATTTCGAGAAAAATCTTGACGGAAGCTTTTTCTCGACGCCCCACGAATCGTGCTTTCGAAGCCGCGCGAACGCTGCTATAGTCTCAAACGAAATATATGTCCCGCTGTATAATACAGAGAAAAAAGAAAGACAAAAACGGAAAGAGAGAAATCTTAGCTGCTAGTGCAAGCGAGAGAGAGAGTGTGTCACGTATCCAAAAACGGACGCGGGCCAACGGGTCCAGAAAATGGACTCGCCTGTCATCGTGGACGCAGCATCCAAATTCGGACGAGAGATCGATCTGGACCGCTCGTTCCCCGTAAGTGATCGTTATCCACCTCCTTTTTTTTTTCCCCTATTTTCTTCGCGGCAGAGACGAGAAAGTCGCGACGACGAAGAGCGTGAAACTTGTGCAGCGTTCGCGTTGCACAAAATGACGTTCCGAGAAAATTCTCGAGTTTCGCGAGGCTTGTAGAGCTGAAGCGTTTAAGAAGAAAAAAAAAAAAAAAAAGTCACTCGGTCTGAAAATAATCACGGTGATTATCAGTCGACGTTGGGTAGCGCGCCGCGGTAAAATGTTCTACGTCATTGATTACGCCGCGGCGATTTACCCGCGGCATCGCCACTTAAGTCCCGATCGACAAATGGACCGACACGGTAGCTCTCCCTCTTATGCGCATTCTGAGAAGACATAATCCAGACCTTAATGGAATCGGCAATAAGATATCTCCACGCTTCACTCTTTACTCGATCGCTAAACGTCCTCTTCCCCGCCGATATGTTCCCCTCCTTGCCCCTTGCCGCACCACGCATTCCGCATTAAGATTCGCGTGGAAATCAGAAATAGCATTTGCGTAGAACGCGCCGTATTTTTCGCGTCTCGCTGTGTCGCGATAAAAACTGTGTCAGAAAAAATCGAGATGTCATCGCGGTTTAAATGTATTCGTAGAAAAGTTTGATCGTATCAGGTTTTTGTTACGTAATTATCTGTTATGTTCAATTTTAATTGTATTATATGTCCTCACTCGCTCAAACAAAAGAGAAACAAATACTCGAATCGATATATCGAATTATCATTAATAAGTTACATGTGACCGCGAAACAAACCGAGTGGCCGTGACGTCATGAACCTATTTAGACGCCTCGAAAGCGCCATTATTACATGATCGATACCACTAATGACACTACGCTGTTGAAAGGCGCGGCGATGTCGTGACGTCACACGGACTTCGAATGTACCTTCCTACGCTCGATGCCCTACGATAGGTGAAATCGCTAGTCTCGGCTTTTCTTTTACGTTCTCTCACATATCGCGATGACGTTTCTCGGCATTCGCGTTCTGGAACGCGACGGACGGTTCTCGTAAACGCGTGGGTGTATTTGCGCGTGCCTCGACGAGGCGATAGGGAAGAAGAAACGAGTTCGAGCAATCGTTTCCCTGTATGAAATCATCCGATGGAAATAAAAAATAATTTAGAAAAAAGGAGAAAGAAATTTTCTCAAAAACTTAGTCCTGTACTTAATTTTATTTGCAAAATCTTTGATAGCAATTTGATAATTATCGTTGCACGCCAGCTATTTTTATTCGTCAATGAAGTGCAAATCTTTTCTTCAATCTTAATCAGCTGGTACTTGATTGAATGAACTTAATTTCTTTCACATGATTATACGACATAATTAAGATTAAAGAGAATTGTGATTGTATGTAATTGTTTTTTTAAATTGCGCTATGTTCAAAACTATTCTTTTTTCTTAAATTATATTTTGTATAAGAGATTCTCTCCGATTAAGAGATGTAAAATATTCTGAGTATTATCTTTTAATCTATTCTTATATATCAAAACGTTTCTAAATAACTTGATTTTCAATGTTTAATAATTAGATATTCAATGTTTTCGAGCTATTGAACTGTTGTCTCTAAAATTAAGGTACAAAAAACTTCGCGGATTTCTTATTCATCAATTTTGCAAGGGCGAAATAAACTATATATAGCGTCCGGCCTTGATGCATTTTTATCTTTTTTTATTTTGGAAAAGTAATTGTTGACAGTCATAAAAAGTCAACGCGGCAATGATGTTTCGACGAGGTCCGCGTGCTGGCCAAGGAGCCGGCAACGTCGTGCCGAAAATAGGAAAACCCGATTATTGAGCGTAGGTGCCCGTATATAAACTACTCTTCTCTCGCTCTCCTTCCTGCCCATCATTTTTCCCCATTTTCTCTCTTTCTTTCTCTGGTGTCTCTTTCGTGTAACTTTCGTACAATGTTCGTATACCACTGCTAAGTGGAACGACGACGCGACCTCGATTCGCCGCAGGAGGAGGAGGATTCGTCACCTCGTGCTCGATTACGCGAATTTTCCCTTCAGCGCCCTTGCGCTCGCAAGTCGGTCGGAGTTGAGTCACGTGCAATCATTTATGCTCAATGAATATAAATTTACCCGAATGTTAAGTAGATGTAACACTCTACATTAATTAACGTTACATATACTTAAAGATACTTTTAAAGCGTATTCGAGCGGTGTGCATATCACATTTAGTTATTTGTGTATTATGACTGTTGTTTAAAACATTTTTAACTATGTTTTATATTTTCACGGTTAATAATGTACTGATTATCTGTTTTTTAATTTTCATTCATTTTTCTCATAATTCAACACAAATATAAACTATTTTCTCTTTTTTTCTTTTGATGATATAAGCTACAAAAATAGGTTTATATGTATAATATCTACTTTCTTCTCTTTCTTTTATCGTATTAAAAAAGTTTGTAGAATTTTGTAAAATATTTGATCAACTTTACAAAAATTATTATACACTGACATTAAATTTTAACATTATGTTTATTTATCTTCGTAGGGCTTTCCGTTCGACGAGGCGGACGTCTTCGAGCATCCGCGTGGCGACGGCATCCGCGCACATTTGGACGACCTCGCGACACGCCACCCCGAGCTCGCGGAGCACCTGCGCGGTCCACCTTGGCCGTTCGGCAACTCTCTGCTACGCGATCGTCGCCGTCGACGCCGCGGTTCCGGTAATAACGACAGCGAGCAGCAAGGCCAGCAGCATCAAGTCGACGAAGACGCACGTAGCCAGGCCAGTGGTAGTAGCGCCGCGAGCGGCGCGAGTGCCGTCAGCTCGCACAGCAGCGGCGAGCCGGACCTAACGTCTTCGATACCGCAGTACGGTTTACGGAACACGGTGGACATAGGTCAGCAACAGCGGCGCCGCGACATGGAGACGAGTTCGGAGAAGGGCGAGCGCGGTCAACGCTCGATGTCGGCGCCGCCGGAGAACCGGCAGCAGCAAGGTCAGAATTACCAGCAGCAGCAGCAGCCGCAACCGGGCCAAGGTCAGAGATTCGTGTCTCGAGTGGACATTACGCCGCAGCACAATCAGCAGCGCTCGCAATCGCCCGGCAAACCGACCAGCAATGTCCGACATATCCCGATCTTCGTGGAGGGCCGCGATGAGCCGGTGATGTCGAAGCTCGCGAGCGACGACGCACCGTCGTCCGGCTTCCCTCAGCGGCCGCTGTCGCCGCCGCGCCACTTCCACAGACCATCACACTTTAATGAACACTTCAGCAGACAGCAGTGGCCGCCGTCGCATTTCCAGAAAACATTCTACGAGCCGGCGGGCTTTGAGCAGCCGATGCGACGGAATCAACAGTTCCAACAGCATCAGCCGCCCCAGCATCATCAGCAACAGCCTCAATATCATCAGCAGTATGAACAGCCTCCGTATCATCAGCAGCAGCAGCCTCAACAGCCTCAACAGCCTCAACAGCCTCAACAGCCTCAATACCATCACCAACAATATTCACAACAACCTCCCCAACAACAGCAACCTCCACAGCCTCAGTATTATCAGCAACCATCGCAACAGCAACCACCGCAACAGCAACAACAACAACAGCCACAGCAGCAGCAGCAGCAGCAGCAACAACAGGAAATACCGAAACCAAAGCCTCCGATGCCAAAGGATCCCTTGGAGAGAGTTGCTCTGGTACAGAAAGAAGTGGACGACCTGGCTGAACTGGTGCGACGTTATATAGGCGGCTCTCGGCAAGACAAGGAGTATATTTATCTAGACGAGATGCTAACGCGTGAATTACTCAAGCTGGACGATATTGAGACGGAAGGCCGAGAAAATGTGCGACAGGCGCGTAAAAACACCATTAAGAGTATACAAGACACAATCAGTCTGCTGGAGACGAAAGCGCCTCTTTCTGGGCAGCAACTTGCTTTGCTAGAGGAAGAAAAGGAGAAATGTTGCGAGGAGAAAAATCTGGCAAAAGTCTCCGAGTCCATGGATGTGGACGCGAAGCAGGAGAAGCAGAGCGGCGAACCTATACCGCTTCCGCCGGCGCCGTCGTCACCGACGAAAGTAAGAGATCACGAAATTAAAGTAGATAATATATAATGTTATTAAAATAGTGTGTGATTTTTATTAGAAGTATATCTATTCTATTTTTTATTTATTTTATATTCTAAATGAAAGTTTTTGTCTATATTAAAAATTTAATATTAATTTTATTTCTTGTAATACACAATATTTTTATTATTTTATAATTGATTTAGAATTCTATTTTCTAATACAGACGAAAGTAGAATCTACTGAAAGCACGGCGACGGCTGCCGAATTTGCGAATCAAAATATCGCACCCGCCGTTCAGCGGAACATCGAGCTGCCCGATATGGACGTTGAGCCGAAAATAGACAATTGCTTGGCGAAAAATACGGAGCAGGCTGTCACAGCTACATCGACAGATAAAACGACGAAACCTGCTGATGAAATGAGCAAAGAATCAAAGCCGAGTGACAATGAACAACGAAAGGACGGTGGTGAAGCGACGATAGAAAATAAGGATGCGCCAGCACAGCAGGCGGAAGAAGCAAAGAAAGAAAAGATCGAAACGAACGGCGGACAGCGAAGTTCGACGGAATCGCCGAGACTGCAGAAGAAGGCGAAGAAGACGTCGAAGAAGGAACAGCAACCGGTGTCCGAACAAGCAATCCCGCTGCCGCCGCCGCCGCCGCCGCCGGAGAACGCGAAGTAGAAACAGAATGTTAAGAAAGAAACGAAGGAAAGAGAGTTTCAAAACAAAACGAGGATCGACGAGAGAAACCGAGAATTTCGCGAATGGATCTTGAAGGAACGCTGACAACACCGACGAGAAATTTCGAAGGACATCAAATTATCGTATCGCGAAGTGGCTTGGCGAATGTGTGAAGGCGCTGAACACAGCGACAGCAATAATTTCTTCTTTTTTTTATTTTACTTTTCCGTCACCAAGCTAAAGACAAGCTAATCGCGTTCGAGCTGAGCAACGAACGAATCCTTCGACCCTGTGAGTTACTCGTCGTTGCCTTAGGACGAGGCCTTCTTTTATAGCACGGGATAACCGCGCGCGAGACGCGAACTCGGTCACGGTGCCACTCGCAGGTTTCCCAAACAGCTGGCTTCCTCAAAGAATGGCCTTTGAATACAAAGTTCTATTTAACGGCTGCAACGCGCGTTCCGTTATATTTTTTCAACGCTAAGAAGAAATCTACGTAGGAATACGCGCAGCGAATTTTTCTTCACCTATATAGCGAAAATGCTATACAATCATCCGTCGAGCAGACCAAATTGCCGTGTTGCATCGCGCGCATCAAAGAATTTTAAATGACTTTAAAAAAGAAGCACGAAATTGTTAATTCTACATAAATATGTAGTTATCATACATTTCAGAAAATGGACATATTTGTGTGTTTTATAAAATTATGGAAGCGTATGATTTGATATCTTATTTCGATCTTTGTATTTTCTTCGTATTTGCAAGTGTAACGCAATACAAGAAAAATTGGTCTGCTTGATAAGTGCATAATGACACTGTACTCGGTATAGTATTACGTGAAGTAAACACGTAACTACAACGATAAGTTAATATTAATTTCTAATTTATTGTATGTATGCCTGCCTGCGCGATAATTTCGCGTTTGCGAGTATGTTTGTTGACACTAATAATTCGCTGCATATTGCACGCATATCCCAGCCTGTCACCGCTGCGACACGAAGTGCACGGTATACGAGGCATATACTTGCAATACACACATACACACTTGTTCGTCGAAAACAGCGTTTGATGTACGTTGTCCAGTGTTTCTTTTTATACTTCTACAAGATGTTCCGTGACGTACTTAATTCACATGTGCGATAATTTTCAAATTATAATCAACTATAAAAATGTTAGAGTTTTAGATTAATCATTGAAATATTTAACATTGAAAATTATGGAATAAATAAACATTTTTTTTTTTTTAAGTTCGGCTTTAAACTCTTCAGAGAATCCATAGATGGGATTTGTTGTGGAACATTCTGTAGATAGTGCTTTAGATTTAACTTTGAAGTTCCCAGAACATCAAGTATGCAATACTTGAAAAAGATCAAAGTTTAATATCTATAAGTTGGAGGTGAAAATTGATTTTGAAATTTTTTTCTCGTTTCTTGAATTTAATTTGCTTATGAAAAATTTTCCTCTCTTGGGATGGGACGACGTGCATCACTTTTGGTTCCTTGTTCATGGTGATACTCGTTTACCTTCGTCCCTTGTTTTCTCTTCTGTGTCTGTACGGCGATATTTCGTTCGTGTATCTATAACGACGCTATTTTACAGCTGGAAATTTTGTATTTTTTCTGATGTGAGAGATATGAGAGAATGCGAGAGAAAGAAAGAGAAATAGAAGCGTATGTGACAAAGATACATACACATATATGGCAAAAATGTGTGACTATTTTATGAGATTAATCAGTGAAAATACAAAGTCTGTTCTACGTTGCGTTCATTTTGTTCATTCCCCTTAGATCAAAGCGGCGATATTCTAGCTAATTTTAAATAAATAATTTTTAACGATTTCAAAGCAGAGTGTTTATTATTCAAGGTAGATATACTGCTTTTTGAGAGATTAGCAATATATACTTAACAAAATCTCTTGTAGCGTTTTATTATCTCATCATTTATTTATATCATACAATTTTGCATTTAACATTAATGCTATGTTTATCTTCAGTTGAATATTGCACGTAACAAGTTATCTCGTTGTTTTTTGGCGCTTGGTGGGAATAGGAGTGCGATATGAACGACAGCGCGACGTTATTAATACCGCCAATTACTTCTAATTTTGCGTAATTTGACTGCGACGGAAATTTTTTTGCAAATTTACGGCGTAAATGCAGAAAATTCGCGGTACCAATGACCTACTAATAACAACATCCACTAAACACAGCTGCTGCGCCTCGTCCATTGCCAAATTCCTGCGAATTGTTTGCATTTGACGCACGCGATTTGAGTAGTTGTCATCTGGGAATATCCCAGTCGACCATACGGCGATAGAAACGACTTTAACGTTAGTCATCCGCGATTGTTGATATTTTTGCACACCACATTGCTGCGCACGTAAAACAAACTCGTGCACGTCGGTGCAAAAATATTTTTATGATCAATGAAATGAAAAAAATACATTTTCTTCTTACATTTTTTAATCTTTAAGTATCGGAAAACGATGATCTTTGTGAAAAAGATACATTTCAGTCATCAATTTTCTCTCCGCGAAGCATTTTGTACTCGGCATCAATAAAACGATCAATCAAAAATGATTTAGTATGTTGCTTTACTTTTTTGTTAATTATTAGATCGATGAAAGTGAATTCTTTTACGCAGCATTTTAGATTATAGAACTAAGTTTTGCGAGTGTAAATTGCTGCTGATTTTGAGGGAACTGTACTTCAATAGTAAACGGCGGCGAAGAACGAGCGGAACGTTTCGCGACTCGCGAACTTGGCACGGCAAAAGCACGTACGCCAGCCAAAAATAGCGCTGGACGATTGGTTAGAGTTGTTAGAGAAGAGCGAATGTTTTTGCGTCGCGACGCTGGGAAATTCCGTTGAGGAAGCAATGCCGCGTAAAATCGCACATGTACGTATATATGCAGATTGTGTGCAGTGATATTTATTGATATTATTATTGCTTTCATGGTTTGCAAAGAGTTTTACCTAAAGCGTGTTACTTTAATATATATTTTTTGGGCCGATGCAGAAGTGATTAATCTGACATCAAATTGAAAAGAGAAAGAAAAGAAGAAAAGTAACATAAAACATGTAAAATGCTCCAAAATTGAGGTCAGAAATACTTATTCCCTCATATACAAGACTCAAACCACTTTAATTAAAACTCAAATCAAATGATTGTATTCTTATCGGCGGCTGGTATTGTAGTTTCCTAACATATCGATGCAGGTTGCATAAATAATTGCAATTATTATTATGTGGCGACGCTGACAGCAATATGTCAAATACTTGACAGTTATTGACAGTTGTTGACAGTTCACGATGCGCCGTGCAGTGATACGTAGGACATTTGATATTTTTGCAAAGGACGCTAAGAAGTTTCAGAAGTACAGACATGTTTGAATCTGTCAAGACTTAGGACTAATTTGGATTTATTACACTTATGTTTGTGATAATGATGTGAAGTGATAATAATCGTTTCTTTTTTTTCTAATCCAGATACTCTCTCGTCGATTTCTTTGCTTGCACGTTTGAAATCTTTCGAGTATCTCGATTGGAAACGCGACTTGCATCGCGCGCGCGTCGATTCACCGTGATGCATAACTGGGTTACGTTGTCGATCTGATTAAACCTGACAATGTCCGACGCTGACTGCTTTCTTCTGGAATTAATCAGTCAGCACACAATTACGAAAATGTAACCTTTATTGCTCGCCTCTTTTATCGAGCAAAATACCGAACGAAATCGTACGTGCGAATTTTCCACTTACAGTATTGCTCTCGTTTATGAATAGGTTAGGTAAGTAAACGCAATGTTGTACTTTGATAATTATCTATCTGTTTACTTATTTAATTGTTTCTACTTTCCCTTCAATTTTTTTATTATTTCCATTTTTTTCAATACCTTGTTTATATATTTTATTTCGAAAATTTAGCAGAGAAAATTTCCTACACATAATGCAACTGAAAGGGATAGATCTAAGGATATTTTTCTTGTATTACACAAATTTTTTGAACATACTGATACCACCAGACGTTTTGCAAAATTACAGAAATTTTTTCTGGTATAATCTCAGTCAGTATATCTGTAAAAACTCATTATATATGAAATGAAATATTAGTCTAATACTCCTTAATATTTGACTGAACATTTGATTCGTATTACCTTAATATTTGATAGAAAGAAAGTAAGTTATATTTTAGTGATTATTTATACTTACTTGAATAATAAATTTAGTTAAAGTGCGATTTTTAATATAATTTCTCAAATTTTTATGTATCAAATCCAAAGTTAAAATACATTTGAACATTTTATATATTACTCTGAATAAAAAAAAATGCATTTTATTTAATTTATTATCCAAGTTAAGTATTAATTTAAATATTACAAATAAGTTGTATTATTTTAAAACGATTAGAAAATCCAATTTTTAGAAGACATAAATATGAAAATATACCAAGTTTTAAATCTTTCTTTCAAGTGCTTATACTCCATATACGGTGCAAATAAGATAAGGATGCAAGGAAAGGAATGCAAAGTGGCAGCGTAATCTTCTAATTTATTTACTTTGATGATTTATATGTTATAACAGCTTCGCGGCCAACGCCTATGATACTAAATGTTCACGCCTTTGCAGAGCTACTCACTATACTCCTAGAATTGTCTCGATCAGAGTGCACTGTGCAAAATAATAAAATTAATAAAGTAATTAAGAGAAAATAAATGAATATTATTATTTATTATTTTTATTTTGTAAATAAATAAATTTAGTGCAGGGAATGGAGCATTATTCAAATCACTTTTTTTTTTCAGGTTTTGGTTTAAGTGGTCTTGGAATATTTTCTGAAATGGCAATCACAACAGACCGTATACTGGATATCTTAGTATCCACACAATGCTCCATGGATGACACGGCAGACGCTGGAACAACATCAGATGACACCACGGCTGGCACGGAAGTCGACAGTAAAGTCAAGACAAAATTGCTCTCTATGTGGAACAATGTTAAATATGGTTTGTATATTCAAAATTTTTATATCTATATATTTATGCCACAGATTTCTTTTTATCATAAAATTGCTAGTGGATAAATTATACTCACTTCTTAAAAACAAATAAATTTGATTGCATATAACACAAAAAATATCAGAGAAAGAAATCCGTCACAACAAATATTCTATTTTTTAAATCAAATTATATATTTTTTTGAAGGCTGGACTGTCAAGATAAAGACGAACTTCTCCAAGGAATCTCCTGTATGGTTGCTAGGTCAGTGTTACCTAAAGAAATCGGAGGATCCTTTAGAAAGGGCTTCGGAGGCTTTAGAACCGGTCGGAACAGGAAGTCAGGTTTCTTTAGCAATGGATGCCACCAATTTTGAGCACACTATAGAGGAGTTCAAGCGGGACTTTGTGTCGCGTTTTTGGCTGACGTACAGACGAGAATTCCCGATTTTAAACGGCTCCACCTTCACCACTGATTGCGGTTGGGGATGCATGTTGCGCAGTGGACAAATGATGCTGGCGCAAGCGTTGGTCTGTCATTTCCTCGGACGGGGTAATTATATTTTTTCTTTTCTACTTGATTTTGTTAACTGAATGCTAATTAAATAAAGTTCCCGATTCGTGTACGATGCAATTGTGTGTGTTAAATTTATTTCTCGATTTTAGATTGGAGATGGCGGCCGACGCGGCCGATCGAAACCACCGAACAGAGAAAGGAGGACAGGATTCATCGGATGATCATCAAATGGTTTGGTGATCAATCAGAGTGTCCGTTCTCTATACACAGGCTCGTGTCGCTGGGCGCATCAGCGGGGAAACGCGCAGGCGATTGGTACGGTCCTTCTTCAGTCGCACATCTTTTGAGTCAAGCTGTGGAAGACGCTAGCGTACAACCTAAGAGCAAGCTTAATCAATTGGCGGTATACGTCGCTCAAGATTGCACAGGTCTGTATGCCGCAATTTCGCTTGAAATACGCTTTAGAATCAGTTTACAAAGCATCGGATTCAAAAACCGTAAAGTAAAGTTACAGATTATTTATTATCCTTATTAGTATACATGCAAGACGTCGAGAACGTCTGTCGCACGCGCGACGGTAAATGGAAATCGCTGATACTGCTGGTGCCTCTGAGGCTTGGCGCCGAGAAACTGAACCCCGTCTACGCGCCCTGTCTGACTTCGCTGCTGACATTGGATGCTTGTATCGGCGTGATCGGCGGTCGACCGCGGCACTCGCTCTACTTTATCGGTTATCAAGACGACAAACTAATCCATCTGGATCCGCATTACTGTCAGGTAATTTAGTTCTTCAAAATACTTGCATATACTATATCTATAACTGCTTTTATCCATATTATTTCTTACATGTCATATTTTTCGATTTACTTTACTCATTTTATATACAGGTTGCTTGATAATGTCCACGAATCCTACTGTACACGAACGATTGGACGGACATTATTAAACAGTTTGTATACTCAACCTGTTTTTCAGGAAACCGTCGACGTGCAGAAAAAGGATTTTCCGCTGACGAGTTTCCACTGTACCTCGCCGAGGAAGATGTTGCTCTCGAAAATGGACCCTAGTTGTTGCGTAGGCTTCTACTTTCCCAACAAAGAGTCGCTTACCGATTTTATGGAAACAATTCGACAAGTCAGTGTGCATATTTTTAATCTTAATGTTTAAAATTTTTGAATGCAACAATAATTTAAGTGGAAAATTGATAAAGCAGTAAAATCTTAAAATATTAGGATATATTTTAATTTAGAAATTAGATTTTTGGAACATAAGAAAGATAGAAGATAAAATAAAATTAAGAAAACTCGATGTCAAAGAAATGTCATTGATATTACAGTTTGTGATACCATCGAACCAGAAAACGGATTATCCAATGTTCCTGTTCTGCGAGGGAAGCGGCAAGGATCTTCAGCAGGGTATCGAGGTAGTTGAGGATCATCTGCCGTCAACGGGTTCGTTCGTCGGTCACGACACGCTGATGGACGATCTGCACGAGTCCGAGGAGTTCGAGATGGTGCGCTAAGATGAGGAGAAAAATAAAAGAAACGAAAAAGGACAAACAGTGATATACGCGTAATCGCGTACTACTCAAGTACCGAGGTGACTCTCGCGAAAAATACCTCTATGTCTCCACTCGTCCAATATTTTGCGACAGTACTTCTTTTCGTATATCCGCTCTTCTGTAGCAACTGTAGAGAAGCGTCATAACAAGAGCGAGCCGGATATGTTGTCCTGGAAAGGAAATATCATGTCGAGGCGACACATTTCTACGATCTCAACGCGTGTTCGAAGACGAGATTCGAGTTGACACAATGAAAACCATTCGTACTTACGAGGTAAGGAATAAGGAAGCAAAATAATTTTTGACTATTTAGTACAACTTAATTATGATTAAGCTGACCACCTCATTACATGTAATATGTACATATTTTCGCGATTATGAGAATGCACAAAACTTTTCTCATTTTGTTACATATGATTTCAAAAATCATTCATCGCTTCACCGGTCATTAATCATAATTAGCTTAATGATAATTAATTTAATATTGCGTGACTATTTATTGTGAGCAAATTTAATATTTAATATTGCGTGACTATTTATTCTGAGCAAATATTTATTTTCCGCATTACACGAGACTCTCGTGAATCATTAAATTCATTTAATTTGTTCATTAAATTCCATCACTGTCGAACGTTATGTGCAATTTAAAATTGTAAGTTTTGAAAATAAGTTTTGAGAAATTCTCTCTAGACATATACAAAAATCTACGCAGATAAGAACGAGACGATTTTCAAGTCTGATTTATTTACAAGAAAAACATGTTAATTTATTGAAACTAATAAAATATTTATTTATTATTTATTTATTTACGATTGTATGAATAAAATTCCTGAGTAATTTTCTCTTCAAATTCCTTGGAGAAGGAATAACGAGGAATAGTAGAAACAATATATACAGAGTGAAGCATCTAACAGGGTACATCGAAATATCTATTAGAGAAAGATTTCATATATCTGTTTAGAAATCTACAATTAAAAGCAAGTGATATCTATAAATATTTTTAAAAAAATTTGATGTCTTTAAAATCTCAAGAGTGAATCTTTTTCCCTATTAATAGACTCCTTCCTGGTGCTGTGCACTTAATACTATTTCTGTTCCTTTCGAAAGCAATACGAAACACTTATGATAAAGTAGAATAGAGCGTCATTTGTTTCGCACTCGTAACGTACACAATACTTAATGACAAATAAATATATAATTCTAAATATATGATAATATTGTAAGACGTAAAAGTAAGAATAAAAAAAGAGAATTATTCAAGGATTATTTAGTACCCTTTTAGATGCCTCATTCTATATATGTGTATGTGCATAATACGTACGTATATTGTATACTCATACTGTTGAAGATGTACACAATATGTTGAACATTGTTATATATCTCTCTATACATCGGTAACGCTATAACGCTTGAAATAAAGTGGGCATATGGCGATATATTACATCACGCTAGAATGTATTATTCAGTGGTAATTACTACTTTGTACTATACCTCGAACTTTGGCCAAGCAGCAGGCTAGTCGCGCAAATACCGGCGTGCAAAGAATCTTTTGCGTCTTATTTAACAGATCCGATGATAAACGAGCTTGAATTCACCTCGCAAGATTCTAAGGATTAGGCGACTAATGGTGCGTGCAGTTTTAACAAATACGAAGTGTCCCAAAAATAATCAGATATCTTCAATTTTTTATAACTGAAAAATCTTAACGTTTCTGTAAAAAATTGATTATAAAATAATCTGTCATTGAAGAGATATGCAGCGTTTTTGGGATACTTGGTATATATTTGTTACTACTTTTAATAAGCTCTATAACAACGCGTTATACGTTTAATTCGCTGAAGACAATTGTCATCGGTGATCGCCGTGGCGTTCAATGTGTTGAGCTATCACAAAATGTCGTTGGTTTATCCTCTCGATCACGTTGTTCGCGATCAAAGACCATCTACGAGCCTATTATTGTCAATACGGGATTGCGTACTTACAGACTAACGCGATATCATGTGTGCGTTGGTGGGTGCGAAAAGAGCGCGTCGCGTAACTTCTTCTCTCGTTGTTGCGGGACAAAAACACTCGTTGCCGAACGAGAATGCTTATCTCCGCTTATCATTCGAAAAATTGTGCGCGGTGCACGCGTCTCAGATAGGCCGAGATTATAGATCTGTTTGCTCTAGTTTTATAAGAATACAAAAAGAATGTTCTTAGACATTAGGATTTTATCGAATCTAATCTGCTAGCTTTTTATCCAAATGTAGATTTAATAGACCGCTTATATCTAAAAATCCTAAAGAGACCCAAGCAGATCTGTAAGTAGATCCTTTTCAAAGTCAGAGAGATCCGCGCGGCCGTCCGATTTGAATTGTCTCTAAAAAAATCTATCTAAAATTCAATCTAAAAACTTAGATGTTGCGCGACGCAGTCCCTGATCGCCGGCCACATCTCGTTGGTGGTGTTGCCGCGAAAGTCCTTCAGCACTCCGATCTCGCGGTAGAATCGCACGACCGGCTCGGTCTTGGTCGCGTAGTCCTGCAGTCGCTTCTGCACGACTTCCGGCTTGTCGTCCTCCCTCTGACTCAACGGCTCGCCCGTTATATCGTCCTTGCCCTGTGTAAACGCGACAATCTTATTTATTGGAATGTTACCATCCGAATCTCAGTCCTATTATATTATAATTAACACGTCCAATATTTTATAATTAGACTAGATCCCGTATCACATGTGTTATGTTACATAATATATTCTAAGATATGCTATTAATTAGCTCTAGTTCATTAGCGAAGCGCCCCTTGTACTCTCCGTGTTTTAAGGCGCGAAATGCGAGGACTGTTCGGAGATTACGTGCAACATTACTCAGTAAGTATAATGGGAATTCCCGGTGTTATCAATCGCCGACGCTATTGTGCGCGTGACCGAGTCCTTATGTTACTGCGTTTTATTATTCCGTTATCAATGGTTATCTTTAAATTGCTATGCGCACGACGGTGGTCAAAGGTCTGTCAGTCAAACTATCGCGATAGAATATTTATTATTAAAAAGAATAATGTAGGTAGTTCAAAGTCCTTTTCACGCTCACTGAGCAGTGTTGTGAAACTAAAAAAAAGTAGTACGTAATTTCAGAACAGATCCGCATTCGAAGTGCAACGTGTACAAAATCGTTGCGCGATTATACCGGCACTTGTGGATCATTGAAGCCGATATTGTAGACCCTGCCGCTGGGTAAGTGGATCCATCTGCTGCGGACGCGGTCCAGTATGACGGAGGTCGGCACCACGAGGTTCAGCACGAGATTGATCGGGTGCAGCCGTTGCAGTCGCTCCGCCTGCGTCAACGTCCTCGGGAATCCTGCGCCGATGCCAAGATAATTGTTTCGTTTACGTTTATAAGCTCGCCGACGTCGAGTTCACGGTCGACGATGACATTGCGGTTGTAAACGAGGCCGTCGCGGGCGCGCGCGTGTGACTCGCGCCGGTCATTTCGTCCTTCACTCACCGTCCAGCAGCCAATTCCGATCCATCACCGATTCGATCTCCTCGTTGATGAGCGATATCATCGTGTTGTCCGGCACAAAGTTACCGCCGTCTATGTATTGTTTCACTTCTCTGCCTAGGTCTGTAAAACGAAATGTTTCTCTGACATTTTGCCAACGGATTGATGCACGTTTCTTTGAACTCTCATTGAGTTGAACGATACGCGGAAGTTTTGTTTTGTAAAAAATAATAATTGCAGACGTTTTCAAAATTTATAAATTAATAATGTATCAATATCTCTTCCATCTCGTGCCGCATAATCGAAAAGATTTGGAATCAATTTGTAATCTTGATACGTTATTATGTATTGAAATTCACACTAACACAATCTTAGCACAATCATTATAATTGTGAGCAGTAAGATTAAATGCTAATGTACTTATTTACTCGGTAATTTGTTTATTCGAAATTAGTAGACAGAATGAGTCGGAGTTTTCCGATTACATAAGATAGAATGTTCAAAGCAAACTAGAAAACGTAATTCGACAACAAAATTCTTTTGATTACGCGGTGCGAGAAAATAATAACAAACTCATCAAAGTTCCTTCGATATTAGCAAATCTTTACGACAAATCAAATCTTTTTCATTTGCACCAATTAATAACACAGAAAGGAAAAATGGTTCTTTTAAACGATTATGTCGATCTAGAAAAATCATCCCTAAAAAGGATGCTAAACACGTACCGCTGCCGACTGTCACGTGGAAGCGCAGCCGGTCGCCGCTGGAGATGTGCGCGATTTTGAATTGCTGGACGATCCTGGCGGAGACGGTGCCCTTGCCAGAGGCGGGTGCGCCCAGTATTACGGCCCTGAAGGCCGCGGTGGCGGCGGCGCGACACGTGGTGATCGCCACCATGAGGCAGAGCAAGTGTGATCACTCTAAAACCTAATTTCACACACTAACCGTGATCGAAGGCAGCAACGGCGACAATGGAAACGGCTTGACGCGACGTCCAACGATGACGACGTCCGAGTGCTGCAGGTAACCGCATGGCCCGCGTGTCGAACCCTTCCTCGCCTCCCCTACTACCGTCACTCACCACCGCATGAACTTCGATACGCACAGCTGCGGCAGTAACGATGATAAGGTGAGATCAGTCGTCCACCCGCCCGCCCGCGCACCCGACCTTCCTCATAGCGACGACGCCGAGACGCGTCGTGACGCAAGCACGACGCTCGGTTTCGTAATCGCTGCACCGGATTCAATGCACCGAGGACGCTCCGCGCAGGCTCCGAGGTAACGATGATGATGAATCGTAAATAAACGGCATCTTCCCGCGAGCGTGATGCAATCGCGCCGTGAAGCGTATATTGTTCCGTGAATTTGTTGGGAAAAAATATGATTGATTATTTGATCGGATTTAAGAATGTATTGTTATGACAATAGTCTTGATTTTTTTTTCGGCTGCACTTTTCTGTACTTTTATTCAGTTTTTCTTCTGTAATGTCAGATTATATGTTTATTTTATTTTGAAAGTGCAAGCTATAACATGAAATGTTTCTTTCTCTTTTTCCTTGCACAGGTGCAGCTCGAGAGAAAATATTAATCAATAATTTTTAATTATTATAGGTTATTCGAAGGAACTATAATTTTTTCAGCGTAATGAAGTCGCAGCGGCAGTGCAACGCGTCACGTGTTATTCCCGGCTTGAATTGAACATATCAACATGTGTTTATTCTTGCGTTGGCAGTGCTGTTGCAAGATGGCTGTAATTGATAAAAGTTATAACGATTTTGATCTTTGTTTCCCTTGAATTAAAGAATCTGTAATTAAATACGCCAACTTTTGCTATCATGCAAGAAGATTGTCACGAGAAAATCATCAGCCAACTTAATAAAACGCATATGGAGTTGAAAATCAGACTCGAACAAGTGTCGAAACTGAGGAGTAAATAGTCAACAATACTCTTTCTTTTCACATCAGGTTAAAGCTAACAATTGTCAATTTTTTGCAGTTGATTGCGCGAAGATGCAGCTGGAATTATTGAAACTCTATAAGCCGCAGTGCTTGGAGGTACTGGAAATGCTGTTGACAATTTCTACACCTGGAAATTTCTCCGACGGCATCGTCAGCGACGACGACAATCGCGACGGATCACTCAACAACGAGGTATTTATAATAAAGTCAAATAGTGTCAAACCGCACAGCGGATTTTTATGTTGAAATATATTTATTACATTTGAATATAGGACTGACACATCGACTGTGTATCCTTAACGCCGTATAACGTAAACATTTGATATAATAGACAGTAATAGATATAGATTTGCGAAGAGATAGACTCTTTGTGGAAGCTGCATTGGGTATCTTTTTTCTTTTTTTCTTTTTTCTTCTTTCACCACATTCCCGCGAGAAACGCATGATTCTCGGCGAGAGGACATGAAACTGTCGATTCTGCGCGTCGATTAGAACACGCGAGAAACAAATACGCTAATTTAACTTTTGTAAAATAAGCGCGTGTAGACTCTTTCATATGCGAAAGTTACGCGCGAGCGCGGAAAATGAGTGCGCTAGAAGAGAGATATGCGCTCGGCAACGATATTTTTTTTTTAATACTTAACAATAATTTACATACGTATTTCTTTATATCGTTTGACCTTGTCCGATTCATTTGCGAGGTGCTCGTCCAAACACTTCGATTAATTTTACAATTTTTTTTTAACGGCGAACATTCGCAAAACTCGGTTCTTGTTACGAGTGCTATGTGTAGGTACATATTTATTTGTTATGATTCATTATTATTGTCTCGTCTAATTCGATCATCGTTGTTCAGTCGCGAAAGAGAGAAGGATTGCGGTTTAGGAAACTGTTCAGACGAATGGCATACCTCGCAAATAGATAAAATAGCTAAATTATCTCGTTAATTAGACTGAATCCTTTTTATTTCAACGCAGAATTCTCAAAATTCGCTTCAATGGCTAATAATGTCAACTAAGTATTACCCGCTTTATTTTCTTCAAATCCATTGAGGATGCTCAAATTTTGCCGGAATTGATACGTAAATTTATTGAAGGAGCGTTGTGTGCAAAAAGAGCTGTTTCACGTATCGAGTCGAGTACCATCGCGTGTGGTCGAGATCTGACGCGATCTCGAATCGAAAGAAAACGGAAGAACAGAACTTTACGCTTGCGAAATTATTATTTTTTTGCGCTTTATATTTTTTTGATATCTTGAACAAATGATACGATTTTGATTAATCATTTTATTCCGTCATATTCCGATTCGAGAACAACGTTACTTTTCGTGCGCTAGCCTGTTAACCCTCAACGAGTACTGTGGACTTTCTATTCCATTACGCGAAGGAAAACACTTTGTAACATACAATTAATTACAAAGTAATGAATATAGCAAGATTAAAATCACTGTCAAATATTAAAAACATTTTTAGTTGGATTGCGGCAGATCTCAGAAGCTCAAGGAAATTTGTGGTATCCGCTGAGGGTTAATCCTCATCGATGCATTATGACGGAAGGTTGTTGACACAGTAAGACGTCGATTATCCGGACAAAATTGTCAGATAAAGAGAAAAGTAAACCAGTCATCAAAACGATATAAGTGTAATGTAAAAATTTAGCTTCAACGTAAGTGAAGGATTTGTCTGGACGTTTTTGGATATCGATCATCGGAGAATCATCACTCGGCGTCCGGATAATTGGCGTTTCACCGTGTTATAAGCTGACACCAGGCCAGAATTTTTCGTTCGCGATTCTTATCGTTCGGACATGGATTGCTGCAGCGCGTCGAGGGCGCCCGCGTGATGCGGACGGTGCGATCCGGGACTTTCGTACGCCGACGACGTGCGGAAGTAGCGGTGCTCGTAACGCGCATTGTAGCGTCGCAGGCAGGATTCACGCGCATTTTGCGTGCGGCATTGTATGGACGCTGCCGTGGGTGGTTTCAGCTGCGACAACAACAACGCGGCGTTCGCGCACGATTGCCTTTCCTCCTCGCGAGCTATCGCCAGCCTCGGAGCCGCCTGTCCTTCCTTTGAGTCCAACGTATCGCACACCTTGCTGGCTTCCACGGCGTAGTTAGCGAGGCAGGGCAACAATCCCTCTTCATCCTGTGCCTGGTGCGGTAATAGAATGTTGTGTTTGAGAGAAGCAAAAACTGAATGAAATCTAAGCCACTGCTGAATGTGTAAAGTAAACGCACAAATGTGTTTTCTGTTATGAGTTGCTCGAGAATAAATATTTTAGCAAATATTAGAATTAAAACATTCAAGATTTTAAGCTATTCTGATATGAAAGATATATTCTATTTTTAAAGTGTGCTTAGCTCATTCATTGGCTCCAATTCCACCTTTGGCCTAATTTGACACATAGATTTTTCCATCGCATTTACGAGAATAATTTATTAAGATAATCATAAATATAAGAATGCAGATGCAAATATTATAGAAATTAATTTTCTAGAATGTTGTGTGCAAAAGAAATTTTTTTAATTTAAATAATGTTTTGTCTATTTAACTCTGATTTATATATAATCTCCGCGAATTATTGAAAGTCTTTGTTATATACATATATGAAAATTGTTGATACATACGCAAGCCTTGCAGATTTGCAGCTTTACGCAGGGCACGTAAAGCATCCGTGATGTGTCGCCGGCTAGGTTGTCCACGGCTTTGCATCGCCATTCGATAGTTTCTAATTCCGGGCAGCTTCTAGGCTCCTCGATGGCTGCAATTCGAACAATCATATTATGTGACTTGAGTAAACAGTTCTCCAAATAATATAAAGTATTCCAAACTCCAAGTTAAAGATGTATCAAGCTTTTTAATTTAGGAGATTGATAATATATGACTTTCTTCGTTAAAAAAAGCTGGAGCAATCTATATAATCTTGTTTTCGATTTTCTAATTTTTCTTCGAACACTTACATTCGCCGTCGTCAATATTGTTACTGATACTGCTCCGTTTTTCGTTGGTTCTAATAGTGGCACCACCGTTATTACTGTTAGAATTGCCGTTGTTGTTGCTATTTTCGCGAAAACTCGACGTCAAATTGTTCTGCGTCTCCTCCTTTTGCGTCCTTTGCGCCTCTTTCTGAATCGCTATGTTGTTTCGGAGGTCATTCAGTGCCTTGCGCATCTTCTGCAGGGAGTAAGCCGCCGCCATTCGCGACATTAACTTATCTTTTACCTATCGAATATTTTAATGAATTTTATTTTATTATTAATGTTATTATGAATCAAGAATTTTAGCTGAGTCACATTTTATTATCCAAAAATGATATATTGATTTTTGAATTATTTCACATAATTAATATTTTAATGTTTAGAAGTTAGAGAAAAATTTTTTTTAAGAAAAATTATGTAAATTGAATTTATTATTTAGCGAAACAAAAAATGGTACAAAGCTACCTTCTGCAGATCCGCTTCGTCTTCCAAATTGGCGTATCTCAGAGCTTCCTCGATAATCATATCTTTGATATATTTCAATTTCGAATCCATCTGCTCGAGTTTTTCCTTGTGCTCGTTCTCATCATCTTTAGACTTCAAATTCTCGGCCATATTCTGTTGAAAAGTTCGATTTAATAATCAGTGATGATTTTAATAATGAATACATTTTGATTATCAAATTTTGATAATCACGATGTACCTCGTAATAGCGCTGCAGCATCCATTCGTCGTCCTGATTTTGCGATCCCTGTCCGGCCACGAAAGTAGCTTTCTTCTTCCTCCGATCGATGCCGAAGTATTGCGACCAATCGACGCTCTTCTTTCTCACTTGAACGAACTTCGATTTCGCCGCGTTCTTCGTAGCGTTTTCCTTCTGACCCTTCGGTGACAATGTTGCTTTTGGCGGCATTTCCGACGAGCTTTCGCGATTGTGATCGTTATCGTGACTGTGGTCGTGATCGTGTTCGTGTTCCGGATCATGGATATGTTCGTGATCGTGATCATGATCAGATTTGTGAGTGTGGTTGTGTGCGTCCGCGGATTGTGTGCCGAATAAAGCTCCCAGGTCTTGAGCGACCTAGAGATACGTTTGAGGAAAAATTTTCTGTCGCATGATTTATTTAGAAGTAGATGTTATAAGAATTCAATATTTAATGTGGCGATAATTAATTGCAACTATCTTGTTATCGATTGTGCTTACCTTAGGATCCGTTTTTAGCTTATTTTGGGGAGTTTTGGGGCTTCTCTTAGCAACCGGATAGCGCTTGGATGGCGGCAAGCGATAAGTGCCGACCTCGCGGCCGATAGAATAATGACCGCTTCTGCGTTCCGCAGATGGCAAATACAGGATTTGCTGATCCTGATCGAGATCCACGAGCTTGTCGTCGCTGTCCTTCGTTTGGCTCCTCAGCAACTGGTCCTTGCTAAGCAACTCGCCCCAAGTCATTGGTCCTGCCGTTCTGTCGAGAGCAAACGTTCTTCTTTAAATTCCTTTTCGGTCCATTAATGTCAAACTTTTTTTCTTTTTTTTTTTATTAAATAATTTCAGGAACTTTAGAAAATTTCAAATCAGTTTATCGAGAAACTAAAATTTTAACTAAATAAACAAGTTCTTGTTGATTGTGCAGCGTTTAAAGGATTAAAGAACACAAATCGGCTTCCAAATTGAGAATCGACTCACTCATATACTTTGTTCCCTCTACCAGCTCTGTATCTGTCGTAAAGCGTTTGTAATGCGGTTAAATACTCGTTGTCGTCCATCTCGTCGAGCGGACCGTAGGGAGAACTGTCCTGCAGTTCCTCCACAAACAGTCTCGCCAGTTCCTTGTCATCCAGATTCGATCGATCGCCGGCGCCGCCCCGTTTGCGGCTGCCGCCTCGCTCGCGCTCGCGGAAGTTCGAGGCTACCGGCTCCTCCTGCACAGGCAATTACAATGATAATTATCCCTCCGAGATCTAGGGTGTGTTTTATTCAACTTGAAGTATCTCCGTCCCTCTTGACGGTGCGAGCAGATAAGAAAGTAATTATTCATTTGAGAGGATAATATTTGTAGATTAGTTTTCTCTTCTCCGTGAATTATTCATTTTTTTTTCCAAGAATAGGATTTTTATTAAGATTCGGAGGAGAAGTTTATTTAAAGTAGTGATCAGCTATGGACAAGGAAATCGTGTTGCATTGGTTATTCTCTTCAAAATGAATCAATTTCTTGCTCGTTTTCAGACACTTTGTATGAAAGATTCATCCTTGCGAAAACTAATCAGTCTTTTTGATTAGGGATATAAAAAATTCAAGGAATATTTACCGGCACGGCTAATTCCTCCTCCAAATAATCGATTAATGCCCTTTGGAGCAACTTGTTGTCCAGATCTTGGAGTCCTTCGCCCACCGTTTCTAGTTGTCCATTACTTGAAATTGCTATAAAATTCATCAATAACATATTTTTCCAAATATACAATATATAAATTTTGTAATATATTTATAAAAATGTATCACAAAGATTTTAATCTTTTTGACTGTAGGGGTTTCGCGACATTTTGTTTTATCAGTTTGGTTTTTTTGTTCAAAACCGATCAAAGTTTTTTTTATCAAAAGATTGTTCTTACCGGGCAGGAACTCGATCTCTTCGTCGTCCGCGTCAAAGTCGCGGTCAAACTTGCGATCGGCGTCGCCGCCGTGGTACTTGAACGAGTGGAGGTCGTTGTAGTATTCCGGCGAATCCGCCGTGTCCAGGGACCTCTGCTTCCTGGCGACGGCGTCCAGGGCGCTCTTGAGAGATTCTTGTTTGGATAATCGAGCCGCGGGAACCAGCGCGATCGCGCTGCTTCCGAGGATTAGCAACGGCAGCATCCACCCTTGCGATGCCATTGTGCTCGAACTGCAGTAGAAATAATAATACGATATTAATTGAAAATAGATTTTCTATTACTAAGAAACTTGATCCTTTTCCAAATCCTCTTAAATTTATAGATTTTTCTATATATAATCTACATTTCTTATCTCTATTTGTGAAATTTATGTTGATTTGTGCATATTTTTAATCTGTCTTTGAGAAAATGAATATTTTATTAATTTATATGTGCTTCTAACTCTTCTTTAAAATAGAAATTATATGTTAGAATAATCTTATATCATCATGAGTTTCATTTTTTACAAATATGGATTTAAGACGATTTGGCAAATTGAGCGCTTAGGTTCAATTTCTTAATCCTGAACCATCTACCGTCTTTTACATCGTAATAAATATATATAACCACGTCTATTTTGCATACTGTGTACCAAGCTGATATCGATTTTGTTAATAGGGTAGCGAAGTGCTTCGCGCGAATGAAGACGTATCGAGGAAATCTACGACGTAACACAACTGTATAGGACGAAATCAGAATCCAATTGAGATAAAAAGTTCTTTGAATTCAGTATTATAGTATTAGAAATTAGAGTAAAATTACACAGAAAGGTGAGAAACGTTGTAAAGAAGTTGCAAAATAAAAAAAAAATTCGTGGAATTTAAAATAATTAGAAGGAATAAAATAATAGTTAGTAATAATGAATAATAATCAATTTAATAATTGAATAAAAAAATCTAAGGAGGAAAACTAATGTTAAAAATTTTGAGTTTAATATAATTAAAAACTAAAGTGGAAAAATAGATATGTAGTACAAAATGTAGTTGCGAAGTAAAAAGGCATAGGAATAAAATATTAAAAATGCAATGACAAGTTTACGTCACAATCCGAATATAACGCAGCGTTCTTTGGGATCAATAAATGTAATGTTCTCCAATGAATATTTACAGACCACTGTATTACTATATCTTAATGTGCACAAGTTTCTCGATAGTTCAAATTTACAGAAAGTAGGACCGTCTTCTCGCATCGGAAACGTTGAACATTAATAAGACATCCGCATCGTAATTTTGTTAAAAAAGAAGTCAATTATTATGACTTAAACACGTCGACCTAACAGATGGTACCACGTCCAGTGTGACAACACCTTGGCGAAAATAGTATATTTGATTCGCACACGTTTCGCAATCGCCAAACAATTTCACCGTTAACGCAATAAACGAAGCGAATGTCATAATCGGATCTCGATAACGAAAACGAGCATTTCGATCGGCAAGAATCAAGTTATTGGATTGCAATTGACCGAATAATTCCACGCACAGTAATTAGGTGAGGTTTTATTGAATTAAAATTTAACGAACTGTTGCGATTAATTACGATTTTACGAAACAGAGTTATCCCTTGCTCGAAATGAAACGAACATTCCGGAAAGAGAACTGACTAAGTGTTAAAACATCATTACGATAATTTTGTAGAAGACCATTTTAATTTATAATTAAGAAACTTGATGGATTATTTTGTCACAAAAAAAAAAGAAACATCGCAATCAGCTGCGAGACGAACATTGACATTGTCGCAGGCAATCGCATTGCAATCGAGCAATGAAACCGAATTACAATTGACAATTCCACGCACTGTCGGGCGAAATTTAATTCATTCAACTTGACGGATTAACGGCGATCTGACAGAGTCACGGCGGAGAGGCGCGACGGGACGTACCTGATTAATTTAACTTTTCATCCGCGTGTGACACCCCCGGGCAAACGGACCAGCGAGCGAGCGAGCGAGCGATTTTCTCTCTCTCTCTCTTCTTTTTTATTTTTCTTTTTAACTACGTCGTAACACGCGTCGTCGACGAGACGATTCCCTGGGTGTGCATGGAACCCCGGTCCCGTTCTCTCGACCAGGACGATCACCAATGGCGGCAGCTTTTATATAGGGCGATCGGACGAAGGATCGATAAAAGCGCGCATGGAAGTTCGTGGAATTCGGCCGCCGCCGCCGCCGGCAGCAACAAGTAAAGGAGGCACGCAGGGTAACGAGGGGGTGTGTGCGGCGCGTGTCGATGAAAGGGAGACTCACCGACCGGAAAACTACGTGCTTTCTTTCGCTTCGTGAATTTTTCCGGCGAATTTTCACCGTCACAAACGATCCCGGAATGTTGAATCGCTACGTTAAATATTTTATCGTTTTTCTCCCGAATATTGCGGTGAATAGAATCCGGAGTTCTCTGTAATAGAAAATCCAGAAGAGTTTCTTTTATGAAAGAGGAAACGAGTGTGTTGAAGCCACTCGGCGACAATTTTGCTGCAACGTCGTTTACAGCTTTATTTAACAAACATGGTAAATCGCGGTTTCACGTCATATATTTATGGAATTATACGAAGAATTATATCTAACAATAAAAGCGACGTCGAGTCTACATGGAAATAAGATTCTAAAGGCAATTGAAAAGAACCAATGCGATAAAATAAATCTCAATGAATCCGGAAAGTCGTAATCGGATAATAAAAGGAGCGATTGAAGTCTAAATGTAAGGAAAATTTGCAAGTACATAAATGAATTCGTATTCAATGATTGAAGAAATTATAATTATAATAACATAGAATTTCTTGATTTCGAATTCGCTTTAGACTCTTCAATTTTCTACTGCATAAAATCATAAAAAGTGCACTACGTTATATTCGATAAAATATTGTAAAAGAAACTTTAATAAAAAGCACAATATTACTTTAACCTTTAAGCGCAAGTAGGTTTCAAGTTATTTTAACGCAAATTATTCGCGTTTTTTACCTGAAAATTTTATTTTTTTTCCAAATATATGAGCCTGAACATGCGTCTTTACCGCGTTTTTTATTCACATGTTCGCATATTTATATATATTTGCATAAACTATATTACATATGCAACATAAAATATATTGCATATTGCATAAATCTGCAATATATTCGCGGTTTTTTTTACTAACTAAAATTTTTAACGATAAGTATTTTTAGGTATAGAATCTTATCGCATGAGATTTGAGAGTGGGAACTGATAATAATGGAAATACCAGGCTCGGTGCGATATTAATTGTGGTGGAGAATATGCTTAGAATTAATGAGCGAATTGTGAAGTAATTAATACCGCTTAGTTTTAGGGGAAAATATTAATGAGTCAAAAATATCGCGATGACGATACAAAAATGTGTCCTTCCAATTTATTATAAAATAATGCGAAAAAAATATACAATCATGATACAATTGATAAACATTACATGTTTATTTGTTTTTATCAGCAAGATATAATTAAAAGATAAAAGATAAATTTTTATATAAAACATTACAAATGTTAGTATGCAAATATTACTACACATGTTACTTTGTGCTATGAATTTAAAGGATTATCATCACAAAATGATATATTGAATGTGCAATTATGTTAATAACATATTGCAATATGAATGTGTGCATAGAGTCCGGTAAATAGTGGTTCAATAAGTCAAAAGGGAATAATATGACCTATTTTTTTTAAAAAGACACTATTTTCATATTGGAAATATTTTTAATGAAAAAATAGATTTTATATTTCTTATCTGATTTTTTTTACAAGGAACAACATTTCTTCAATTTTACTACGATTTATTGGACATGCTATGTATAATATCTATAATATATTTATGAATGCAAACTATCTACATGCTTATGAACTGTGTAATTTTTTTCAGATGTTATTTAAAATATTTGCATATTTTAAGGAGAATATCAAGATACGTAATTATCTTAATTTTACAATGTTACGAAAACAAAATAAAATAATTAAACACTTAAAAGATGGATTAAATACAAAAATCAGAAAATACCGAATAATCGGTTGCAAAATATCAGAAAGAGTGCAGATTGGCGTGTACAGGAAGGAAGAAAAAGGAAAAATTGATTTTCGCGTTTTGTTTTACGACTTTTCATTGTCGACATTGATTCGCTCAGGTCAGCGCTTTTGTTACGAACGTGCTCTATTATCGATATTTACGCGCAATATCGCTTATCCACGCGTCGAAGATAAATGGTTAGATTTATCAGGTGATAACGCGGGAAGATAAACTGAAATTAAAGTACAAATGATTGTGAAGCAGTGTGCTCTCGATGGTTAACGCGGGTTTACAAATCGCGGAAAAAGATCGGATTTACTTTTCTCATCGGGCATAAGAATTTCGGAAGTAGAGGAGACTTCGGAATCTCTCTCTCTCTCTCTCTCTCTCTCTCTCTCTCTCTTTCTCTGTTACATTTTTTTTTCTGTAATCTCTGTTATCTGCAACTGTCGACGACATGTCATTTACTCCAGGCCGTGATACCGCGCGATACACGGAAGCGGAATCGACGATGATGATGGAGCGGAACTACGCGCAGCAGCTCAACGGCTCGAACGATGAGCAATCGTCGGCAACTGGTATCAGACGAGCGCATTATCGCGTTATCTTGGGCAGACGTTGTGCATTTTTTTCTATCTTTTCCGAAGAATTTATCGTAAAATTTTTTTTCCCTCCCCTTTAGCGACGTCGAGCGCAGGTACGCAGATGGAATTGCAGGAGAATGCGCCAGTCACCACCGTCATCATGTTGCAGCCGGCAGGTGAATAGACGCTTTTGCTAATAACAAAATTACGCCGATGTCGAATTAGCAGCCAAAGTGGTTTCTTTAATCGGATATATTCGTTTTTTCTTGTGCACAAATAGGTGTTTCGAAGTGAGAAATTAATTTGTGATTTTATGGGATTTTAGAAAAACATTGAATCGATCTGAAAATTCTTTTTGAATTCTTTTTCATTTATCGAAAAACTCGAAGGAACTTCCTGATCGACTCAATATAAATCGAAAGAACAGTGCTCAATTTACTCTCTGAATGCAAGATAATTTTATTATAAATTTAATGTTTTTAGAACGAAAATTTTACACTTCACGTAACATTTTTCGAAATAAAGGCATCAGAAGAATAATAATTCAATTAAACTTCTTTCTGCCATAATTGTGGATTTAATTGAACATTTCATGGCGTAATGCGAAATCGATTATCTTGCGATAACGAGCGTGCCCACGCGTTTAATAAAATTCCAAGCAGCTTTTGATTGTTCGTGCGAAACGCCAACGCTTTTGCAGGAGGCGACAGCCGATTCTCACGGAGGCCCATTCCCGTCAACACCGTGGACTGGGTGTCAACACCCAGGCCGCAGTTGAACGCATCCTCCGGCACGCAGTTCCTGGCCGGCGTCGAACAATTGGAAATTCAGCAAATTGTTGATTTGAGCACTCGTACGTATTCAGTGCGCCGAATTCTGTCTTATAAAAAAAAGATATAGATATTTTAAAACGAAAATAGATATAAATCTGTCTTGACATTTTATTAATTGTAAATTTTATTTTCAGAAAATTCACAATTAATATGAATTTTATTTTTGTTAAGCTATAAAATAAGTAAGACGTAACTGTGCATTAATACTGATTAATACTGAAAAGATGCATACATGCGATTTATGTGAAATATTCGGCCAGTACTCGGCAGGACAGAGCGAGGGACTCAGTACCGGGTGAAGGTGCCACGCGCGGAAACACTGTTCCTCGCCACGGAATCCAAGTGGGAGACGCAGTCGCGGATGTTCGGCTGGTACAAGGGATACGTGCTGAACGTCCTGGATCCATGCGGCGAGACCGCGTTCGTCATCCGCAAGGACCCGAGCTTGATGCACGTGTCGCGAGAGGCAAGTACACTAAGCGTACAACAGGTGTGTCGATGAATTACACATTTCTCTAATTATTTGCGATTGTGTCGAATCGACGTTTATTAATGGACTGATTTTACTTTAGCTGATTTCATTATACTTTACATTTATTATTTAAACATGAGTAGACTTGGATCAGAAAATTATGTTATGACATTCGAAGCTTTATTTTGATATTCAAAGCGTTATTTTAGTTAACTAAAAATAATAACAAGTGAAATATATATGATTAAATGAAGAAAAAACATACGTAGGTCCATTTGAACTCGTACTCAGGCAGAAAACGAAGAAAACAGCGGGATTAATCGGCATTTATTGCCGCAGAACTAGATAAAAATGAGATGTAATGTGAAGAGATGAGTTTCGATCTCCTTGTTTGATCTTCTCGTGAATTTGCGCAGAAAATTACGGTGGAAAGCACGGATCTCATCGGCAGCGTGGAACAGAATTTCAGCCTGATAGGACCGAGTTTCACTGTGTACAATGCGTCCAAGGAGCCGCTCTGCAACATATACGGACCAAACATTTGTGGCTGCTGCATGTATAAGGAAGCGCAGTTTCAGGTGAATTTGCTTAAATATGCTATGTTAAAAATACCGAAGCGTTATCTATTCTCAGACTTCGTAAATTACGCAAAATTTTCGTTATAGAGTTGTATCAAACTTTTATTTATTTTATATATTTATTAATTATTTATTAGAAATTTATTATAAATTTATTAGAAATATTTTATTAGAATTTGCGTAAAAAATCTATATTAAATTTTTATTATATAAAATATATTATATAAAAATTAATATAATATAATATTTCTAATATGTATAAATATAAAGAAATAAGTATACAATATTAATGTCATACTTTTTAATTGTAATTTAATAGTGACATTAATATTTTGTACTTATACATATTTATTAAAAATATTATATTAATAGTTGCGCGCAAAATATAATAAATTTATATATAACATACTTAGCAAAAAAATATTTTATATTAATATTTTATATTTATTTACGTATTTATTGTACTCCCGTTTTTCTAGGTCATATCGTCAGACGGATCGCATCAAGTTGCGACGCTGATGCATCAATGGGATCACTTGACGGTCGATTACATTCTATTACTCACATTTCCAATAGAAACAGATGTGAAATTGAAAAGCCTGCTCCTCGGAGCGTCATTCTTGATAGTAAGCAAACGCTTTTTCATTGCTAATCGCTTTCTGACTTTTTTTAAATTTCTCAAATTGAACAAATTATACATACAATTCGTATATATAATTTATCTATACAAATGGAAATATATTTAAAAATTATATAAATTGCAAAAATAGATCTCGTTGTGTTATACTATATTTTTGTTTTCTTTCAGGAATATTTGTACTTTGAACGAATAAGAAGAGCATCCAGAAGATAGACATTGATTGGAAACAATTTATCAAATCATCGCCTTTTGCTGGAGCCAGCACAATTCATATTTTAGAAAAATGAATACTTTTAAGAAAACAGATGCCTTACATAAACTTTATAGAAGTAACGGATCATCAGTAAACGTGCGCGAATCACAGAGTTAATTGAGTATTATTGCTGATTTATATTTACATAATAAAATACTCATCGTGAAAATGTAAGGTGCGTGTTGCATGATTTATGATCATAATCATGATTTATGAGTTTTTAAGAGGTTAACATAAGAATTAATGATAAGAAGTAAATATTATTGAAGAATTATAAAATAATAGAAATGTGTGTATGCAATTTTTGAAAGGAAAAGAGCATTTAACTTGATTTTTTCAATTCTTTGTAACTTTAAAAATCTTTATTTTATTAATATTTCTAATATTAATAAAATAAGGATTTTTTAAGTTAAAAAGAATTGAAAGAATCAAGTTAAATGCTCTTTTCCTTTCAAAAATTACATTGCAAAATACAAAAATTAACTGCTTATCTGAATATGGTAAAACTGTGAGTGTAGCGTGTCATGCAATGTAACAATAGTGTGTCCACCGGCCGAAAATAGCGCTTGCGCAACACATTCAGGAATCCACAGTTAGTTTTCCAGTACTCAGCAGTAATTACAAATGTCGCAAGCTGAAAGACAGCGAGTCATGTAAACACATGAGAAACTGTAATCGAACTGAGCAGAACTGAGTGAATGTTTACTAATTCGGATCTTTTTGTTAAAAGGAATCAATAGTATTTATTTATTCAAAGGTGGTAGAATTTTAACCACTCTGTTATAACGCTGCTGATTAAGTACACGCCGTGTTATCTGAATAGTCTATATATATTAAAGTGTAAAGTGTAAGTGATAAAACGTATCAACATTTATGAGATAAACCAATGAAAGTAAATATACGAAATTTTATGGAAATGTATGCACTTTGAGATAGCAATAATTCATTAGTTGCAATTGGTTAGTTTGTTTGGTTATGCTGCCGTTTGCCTTGGGTATATTATGCTTGTATCAGCATAACTTTTTGCGACATTCATCGAGTGACTTACAATCAGTCAGTGCGAATTAAGCGGATGTTATGCATGTGAACATCAGCTGTTAGCGTGTCTCTTTTTGGTGGCACTTAGTGAAAAAGGTTTTTGGTATTTTCGTAATATAGAACGTGTGAAGGTGTAAAAGGTAGTGAGATTAGAAAAAAGGAATAGATTTCTTAAATCAAGCAACTAAAAATCGAAAATATAACGTTGTGCTTTAACAGATTTATGTATATATTGATATGTGTATAAAAGAACTTTTCAACTTGAACGCGTAATATTAATTGAAATTGTCAATGTGAAGTTTGTTATAATTGTAATTAATATTGCAGCATTTTTTTATAATAATAATTCTACAGAAGTTTTCATTTAAACTTTCGGCAAATCGATTTTACATCTTTTAAATAAAAATTAGAAAATATTGAAACATTGAAAAAGAGTGAGAATAAAACCAAAAAATTTCTGAGAGCAATAACGTAAAGTGTAATAAAATAAAGTGAAAAAATTCTTAAAATTAATGTAATTTTCATAAAAATAATCCAACTTTTTTTCCAAAAATTTATCGATTAAAGGAAAAGTTACGTAACATTTATGGCCATATGATGCCATTTAATAAAAATGTTAAAAAGTAGAAGCAAAGTAGGCACTTAAATTGTAAATATATTAAGCGCATAATGATATTTTTTCTTCACAGAATTAAATTTGCATTGCTAGCTTCGGATTAGCACAAGATTAGAAATGGACTTATTTGCAATTATCGGTCTATTCATTGTAAGTTATTATTTCGTCTACCTAATTCTTCCTTCGATCTTGGACTGCGATTTGTTGCTCGCTTTTTCAGAGAGATTCGGCAAACCTGTGTGTAAGTATATTAATTTTCACTCGCGCTTAAAAGATAGCAAAAACTTTTTTTCGATAAAAATAAACGTAAAAATATATGAAATTCAATAAAAAAATATTACATAATCAGATGATTCTGACGACAGAATATATGTGGAAATCCGTCAATTCGGCCTAAATTATACGTTCTCTAAAATGGGCTCGAATAAATAAATTAATCCGATTAATTCTATTTTGTATTGCTGCAGCTTCATTGGCAGGCAAGACCGTATGGATAACAGGCGCGTCCAGCGGTATCGGAGAACACTTGGCTTACGTTTTAGCCAAAGCAGGCTGTAAATTAATCCTATCCGCTCGCAGAGTTGCCGAATTAGATCGAGTGAAAAGAAAATGCTTGGAAGGTAAAGAACAAGATAAAACCTTCACTAACATCCTATATTTAAACCTAGCTATATTTAATGGTTGAAAAACGTGACGCATGCAAAGATAATGATGATAAACCTATGATATCTAACTTTTATTCGAAATATGTAGCGCGTCAGCTCGTTATTATCGAAAGTGATATTTTTTTAACAATTTCAGATATTAAAGATTATATATAGTAGAAGATATTTTTTTTTTGTACTAACAATACAATTTTTTTTTAAACGTTCCTGTTCAGAAAACAAACACTTAAGCGACAACGATGTGGAAGTGTATCCTTTGGACTTGCTTAATCTGGAGTTGCATAATACAGCGGTGCGACACGTCATCGATAAGTTCGGCAAGGTATCTTGTTTTGATCCCAATATAGATAATTGCATGGTCTACAATAAGTAGTTTAATTGTAGGCCATGCATATAAATTATATTAACTTTAATGTTACACTAGTATTGTTAATAGATCATGAATTTCGACAAAATCTTACTGTTGTATTATTTCAGTTGGACATACTCGTCAACAATGCTGGCCGCAGTCAACGGGCGCAGTGGGAAAACATCGATCTCACCGTCGATAAGCAAATGTTCGACTTGAACGTGTTCTCCATAATGTCCTTGAGTAGATTGGTGGTCAAGCACTTTTTAGAAACTGGCGGCGGTCACATCGTCGTTACCTCGAGTCTCGCGGGAATCTTACCGGTACCGAGATCGGCGACATATTGCGGAGCTAAGCATGCATTACATGTAAAAATCTTTCAACTGTACATAATAACTTTCTTTACTGAATGCAACAATTTGCATTCGGTAAAACAAATTTACCAGTATCGCAAAATAGTGATTTTATATTGCATGTTCATAGGGTTACTTCAAACCAATGTTCTTAGAGTTTCCTGATAAGCATATCGACGTCACAATGGTTTGTCCTGGCCCGGTGCAGACTGATTTTCTAGCCGAGAGCTTTACAGAGAAATCTGGCGAAGTATGTATTACAAGTATTATTTTATTATACAGATATTCTACAGAATTCGAGATACAAAGAAATGTCATTAATACATCTTTGTATAGAAATCTATCAAATTAAAACAAAATTTAATTTTAATTTATATTTTCACATATTTCAAATTGTTTCAATGAATTATTTGCCATTCTAAATTGTGTAGAATCTTGTATATTATCTCATAAATTTATCTCATAATGTAGGCATATGCACATATTAATTGCCACTATAACTGTATACATACTTATTAGTTATTGGCTATATATACTAACTGTGTGATTCTATTATACTTTCAGAAATACGGTATAAACACGGATGTAAGTAAAAGCAAAGTTACTGCTGAACGCTGCGCATTTTTAATGGGCATTGCAATTGCAAATAAACTGGAGGAAGTATGGATCTCCAGATCGGACTCACTGCGAATGTTGTACTTGATTTATTGCTTCCCGAATTTTGCAAAATGGTATATAATTTTACGTAACGTTTTACTGTGTATATTAAATCGATCGAAAAGTTTGTTCGTCTTTATATGTTTTTAAATCTATCTTAGATAATTTGTAACTCACGACAGAGATCTTTGAGATAGAATTCTGTTTATAATTTTATATGCAAGTAATACAGAAAATCAGGATACATACATATACAAAATATATATTAGAATAAAATTGTAAATAGAATTTTGTTCCGAGTTTTGTCGCGAATTCTAGATTATCAAAAATGGAATTTATACCAAGAAAACAAAAGAAAAAAAAAGAAATGGACGAACCTTTCGATCAATTATGATATTATATTAATGATACTGACTGAATATATTTTGCATTTTTATGAAGGATGATAAAGAATTTGGGAATGAAATACATAATGAAGTTACGAGATGCTAATGCTTTCAAGCAAAAATAATCAGACTCTGAAAATGGGTAATTATTTTTATATTATTTATCAAAGTGCTCTTCAAAGTATTTATAATATGCAATGCCATATTTACATATGCAAAAGGCTGTTATATTAATATAAAAATGTATATCACATGTATATCACATGTAACTTAATGTCAACAAAGAATAAAATATGTTCCTAACATTTCAACAGTAGTATTACTGAATTCCTGTTTCCTATGAAATTAGGAGAAGTTAACTCTAAAGTTTATAGCAGTAACAATAAAACAATCTCACGAGAAACGTGTTTAGAGTATATCCTTTATCCAAATAATTAATTTTTCCAAAAATAAACCGGAAATAATTGGACACATATTTAAATAAGATTTATGTGTTTATATTACTTGCACTCATCGATTAGAAATAAAAATGTATTCTGATTTTTGTACATATGTATATATATATTTACTTCTAGCTGAGAATTGGTTACTAGATTCATGTTGATTTCACAAGCTTCGTCAATTGCTCCCTTGCCTTTTTGCCTCTGAGAATAGCTTCCTTGAACAACGAACAATAAAGCTCTATGGCGCACAGAGAGTCGTCGTTTCCAGGCACAGGATACGTTATCAGATTCGGATTGCAGTTTGTGTCAACTATACCAACACTGGGGATGTTCATCTTCGCTGAATGACTAACCGCTGTGTGTTGAGCTTGAACAGTGTCGAAAGTGCTAAGGAAAATGCACAGATCTGGCAGCCGCGTCATAGTCTTGAACTGATTTTGCGAGTTGGGAAACAGGCCCTGCCTCCAATACCTTGTTTGTGAAAACTCCTGGCATTCTTTAGCCGTTTTGTCCACTAAATATGTGGCCTGGGGATTTCGCGAAATGAACAAAATTATGCCGCCTCGAAAGGCAACATGGGCAGTGAAGTTCAATGCTTGTCTCAGTAACTCGACAGTTTGATCCAAATCAATTATTAGGTGTCCCAGTCTGGAACCAAATATGAATGTCTCCATATGTTCATTCAGTGAAGTTTCTTTATGACCATAATGTACCCTCGCATTGTACAAGTCCTTTAAAGTGAATAAATTGTGCACTTGGAAGAAGTCCGGATGTTTCAATGGGTCTAATGTTGACACCTCTGAGCTTTCTGAAATATTATAAAAATTTATATATATATAAAATAATATTAAATAACAAAGATATATCACCTTTTTCATAATTAAATTATAGAAATACAAAGATACAATATTCTAAAGAAAACTGAAATTATATTATAACTTATAAACCTTCAACAAATAAATTATTATATTTTTACCGGTTTCTACATTTGGTTGAGTTTGTGTTGATAATTGACATCGACGAAGATGGGTATTACAGATGATAGGTCGTAAACATTGCCATTCTCTCGAAACTGTTAACAGAACAATCATGAAAAGATTGATTAACAATATTAACAATATTCGGTATTAAATAACGCAAAATAAGAAAGTATTTACAGTTAGATGAAAATATTCGCCTCGCAAATATAGACATTTTATTAAGTAGTCTATACTTCGATGAAATTTCCAGCAGAAATAAACAATGTTACAAGTTAAAAGAGGTTATCTTAAAGCAGAAAGAATAGAATATAGAGGCAAAATCAGTGACGCCATATTTGAGACGCAAGCAGCATTACATATGAATACCGCACACATGCGCAAGCCACGCTCCATTTTACCCAGGATTTTATGAAATTGTTACCAGGAGCACATGATGATGTAGGAGCTCTCTCATAACAGTGCCATCTACAACATTATGTAAACCAACTAGTGCAGTCGGTACACTTACCATCAATGCATTCGTAATGTTGCTTTAGGTAGTTTTTCACCAAGAGACACAAGAGACACAAAAGTATTATTCTCTCTGTTACTCATTGAATATCAAACAAAGACAGAGGCCGGTATTCATAGTCCGTTCTTATATTTAAGATTGTCTTAAGCACGGACTTATATTCGCTCTCTTCGTCACACATAGATTGTGTCT